TGTGTGTGTGGGGGGGGGGGGAACAGGTACACTTACATACATGCAGTCAAGATACTCATACACATAAAATAAAAATAATAAAATATTTTTAAAAGAAGTAATGAAAAGAGATTTAATGAAAAGAATCTGAATCAAAATCTTAGACTTTTACCCACTATGCCCAAAATCAAAATGAGATGTTATTTTTGTCACATTGATATTTCCCCAAAGCACAACACTCTGACATTTTTACTCCATTCCCATTCTCAGGAGGTCAACTTGCTTCGTGATCAGCTTGGAGATCGGCTCAGTGTGGAGCTGGACACGGCTCCCACTGTGGACCTCAACAAGGTCCTTGATGAGATGCGATGTCAGTACGAAACGGTGCTGGCTAACAACCGCAGGGACGCAGAGGAATGGTTCGCCGCTCAGGTCAGTGCCCACAGGGAAAGGGCAGGCTTCTGCAAGCGTGCTTTGCCTAAATCCTCTAATGGGGCCTGTGTTTCAGACAGAAGAGCTGAATCAGCAGCAGCTTTCCAGCACGGAGCAGTTGCAGGGATGCCAGACAGAGATGCTGGAGCTGAAGCGCACAGCCAACACTCTGGAAATTGAGCTCCAGGCGCAGCAAAGCCTGGTGCGTAAGACCAACACAGGGTCAGCTTTGCCGGCAACAAGCTCAAAGATGCTACGCCCTTTAGCATACCTCCAGGGAGACACTCACAGCTGTGCATCAGGTCTGAGACTCCAATTGGCCAGGGTGACATTTCCCTGCTTTTCTTCAAGTACATGATTGTCCCATACTGGAAGGAGAGCAACAGATTACCAGTATGCATGGTCTCACCAGGGAGAGACTGGTCCTGAGCATGATCCCATAACACCCTGGCAAAATGGGGTCCACTGAACTAACAGCACTGAAATATGACCATGGATTTTAATTCTCTTTTAATCATGGACAATTTTCCAGACTCATCATCATGTCAAAAAAAATCATTTTTCAAGTTTTTGTCCTACAACTAACACAATACTCCTCCCTACCCAAGCAACAAGAACGCTACACAGGGAAAGCCACATGCACTAGTCCTATCAGGCATCAAGGTGTATGCTATGTGGGGTCCAAGGGAAGAAGCTGAGCACTTGTCTAGGACAGGCACAATACACTCCACTGTAGATGGCTTCACTAACTTCATTTCACAGATGAGGAAAATGGAGGCTCAGAAGAAGTAATTTCCAGGAGGTTCTACCATTCTAAGCAGAACATGATTTCAAGTGTTTTGACCCCAGATCATCTTCTCTTATAGCAAGATTACTGATTGTCCCTGCCAGGTGCTGAAACTCAAATTTTCCTCCCAAACGTTGTCAATCCTCCTTAAGCTACACCAGTAGGTCCTAGATGATAGTAGTCATGGTGGTGGAAGTGACAGCTGGCACATCTGCAGCCCCTAAAATTTTTCCAGACACTTGTCAAGTGCTCCCCAAATGTTCACTCACTTCCCCACTCACCCTCCCTCTGCCTTCACCACTGTCTGTAGAATGAAACAAAGGCTCGGAGCTCTCAGAGCTGGAAAGGGGAGCAGCGAGGGTCTGCCCCGGGGGCCTCTCACAAGGTCTTCCTCCTCCAGACAGAATCTCTGGAGTGTACGGCGGCAGAAACCGAGGCCCAGTACAGCACGCAGCTGGCCCAGATGCAGTGCCTGATCGACAGCGTGGAGCACCAGCTGGAAGAGATCCGCTGCGACCTGGAACGCCAGAATCAGGAGTATGAGGTGCTGTTGGACACCAAGGCCCGACTGGAATGTGAGATCGGCAGGTACCGGGGCCTGCTGGAGAGCGAGGACAGCAGGTAAGTCCACGGTTCTTACGCAATCCCCGGGGTCCCAAAGGAGAATCCTGTTTCCTCAAGGTCTGACTCCCCTAATGTGTCAAGGGTTCTTGGTTTCTAAAAAGTGAAGAAAAGGCTGGGCAAGGTGGCTCAGCAGGCAAAGGCGCTTGCAGCCCAGACTGATGACCTGAGTCTGATCCCTGGAACCACACAGTGGAAGGAGGAAAGTGATTCCCTAAGTTGTCCTCTGACCGCCACATGTACCGATGTACGGGGGGGGGGGCAATGAGACAGAGACAGAAACAGAGAGACAGAAAAACAGAGAGAGACAGAGAGACAGAAAATAAGTGTAAAAAATGTAAGAGAAAAAAACCAACTGAGGCTAAATCTCTAGTAGTGAAATGTTCTACAACATTCTGAAGTTTTAAAGCATAATCATTTTCATAAATATCACTTTGTGCTGGGGTATTTCTTGGTTTGTGTCTTCCACTAAAGGGAAATTAGAAACCTGAATAATATGACATTTGGCAAAATAAAGAAAAAGCACTATGCAGCAGCCACCAGTGTTGTGGGCAAAGTACTGGCTATTCTAGGGCCAAAGACGAAGCAGGCTAAAGTCAAAGTCTGTTCTGTCAAACATTCTTTTTTAGCAAATTTTAATATTTCTGAGATGACATTTTACCAAAATTCCCCTGGTAAACTTAGTTTAAATTGATTTTCCCCCAGGCTTGCCTGCAACCCATGTTCTACAGCTTCGACATCAAGCAGCGCATGTGAGCCATGTTCAGCCTATGTGATTTGCACAGTTGAAAACTGCTGTGCATGAATATCAAACCTCCAGCATGGTGGATGGGACTCGAAGCCATCAATGCTCAAGAAAGGAGACAGGACCTCAAGCAGGGACTTCCAGTCCAGAAACTCACGTCCGAAAGGCTTTCGGGTCCTGACATTTTCCACTACGCAGCTGTAGTCTGCTGATTGCTTTTCTCCTTTAAGCCGACTCGTGGGATCCTGGAAGCCCATAAGGTTTTCTTGCTAGTCTCCAAATAAGATTTGTTTCATTCCTTTAGCATTGTAAATGTACCTTGTGGCTGATTGCCATCAGTTATAATAGCCATTTAATGGAAGGGAAATTGTCTAAACCTATGACTGTGGTTTTAATATGCATAAACCCAGGCTGAAAATATTATAATTCCTCAAACAGATTAAATGATCCATGTGAGATGTTGTGTATCTAAAAAGAGAACTGTATGTATCTTTCTCAGAGGAAATGTATGAATAAAATAATATGTTATATTCATTGTTCTTTTTATTTTGAGAGACACCAGATTATCCTTTTTAAAATATTTTATTTATTATTTTTATTTTATGTGTATGCATGTAATACCTGTATGTAGATAAGTACACCTATGTCATGTAATGCCCGAGGAGGACAGAAGAGGCTGTTGGATCCCCTGGAACTGGAGTTATAGACAGTTGTTAGCTGCCATGTGGGTGCTGGGATTCAAACCTGGGTCTTCTGCAAGAACAGTCACTGTTCTTAACCGCTGAGCCATCTCTCCAGCCCCCAGGTTCTCCTTTTTAAATTTGGTATATCAAAGGAAAAATACTTGCAATTCCATCCTTTAAACATTCTCAATATTTTTGATAATTTCCAGTTTTCATTCTTATTATTGGTTTTTCATGCAGTTATATTTTCATGTGTAACTGTATAATTTTTTCACTTCTATGCCTAAGCATTTTCAATCCTAATTTAAGATTTATTTTTTGTTATTTATGTATATGTATGTGTGTGTGCCTGCATGAGTTTAATGCACCACATGCAGACAGGTGCCCACAGAGGCCAGAAGAAGGCATTGGACCCCTGAAACTGGAATTACAGGCCGTTATGAGCCACCTGACATGGCTTCTGGGAACCAAACCCAGGTCCTCTGCAAGAGCACTCAGTGTTCCTAACCACTGAGCCATTTCCCCAGCCTCTCAATCTTAATTTCAAGACAACAGATTTCTGTGCCCATCATTTCAGTAATTGCTTAATATATCATAAGACACATTTGGGTTATAAGTAGCTTATTCTCTCACATTTAAAAAGTAAGGTGGAGTCAGGTATGGTCATTCACTCCTGTACTCCTAGCACTCAGAAGGCAGAGGCAGGGAGATTGCTCCAAGTCCAAAGGCCGGATTACATAGTGAGAATGTAGATCTACTTTACATAATAAGCTCCAGGCCAGGCTATAAAGGAACACTCTGTAGAAAGAAAGAGAAGACAAAAGAAGGAAGGAAAGAAAGAGGAAGGAAGAAAGGAAGGGGGGAGAATGCTTCCACTTCTAGAAATATTAAATATATATACGTTTCTTTATTCCTCCTCCTAACTGAAAATCTCAGAATTATATATGGAACAAATATAAGAAGACCTTGAAAGTAGAAGAAACCAAGTCATCTCAAGAGGCCCAGGGACACTGTTGGGATCCCTGGATTTCCTTTTTCCTCTTCTATCCCAAAGTGGGGCTTGAGAGATCATCAGCCTGGGAGCATCAACAGGTGCAAATCAAAAACAGTGTCCCAAGTAGAACTTTGTCTCTAGCTAACCAACCAGGAAAAGTGCCAGACAGAAAACCTTTGGATATTAGCCACTCGGCCCAACCAAATGCCACAGAAGAACATTTTACTCATCACCAGTCCCACCAGGAAAAGTCAACTGGGAGGTCTAGGCATCCATGCTTATCAGGCCATAGCAAGCCATCCACGTCTCGTGTTGGGGTCATATCAGAGAAGGAGGAGTGAGGGGTCTAGAGTTTTCATTCCCACGGGTAAAGACTGTGTGGGAAGCTTGGGTGTCACAACTTTTGCTCGCTGTGAGAAGTCCTCTTCAAGGGTGGTGTCTGAGGAGGCCTTCTGGAAGATCAGCAGCAACAAGGGCACACAGGAGACATCAATAATAAAACACCGTATCCCACCCAGCCAGGTAGTACCTGAGGAGTCCAGATAAGAAGGCTGAAACCCCAGCCCTCCAGTACTAAGGAGAAGGTACCCCTTGAGGTGTTAAAGGAGGTAAAGTAGAGAACTTGGGCCTCCACTCTCATCTGGCAGGATGAGGCATCCTCTTCTTCTCTACCAAGCAGTGTCAAGGAAGCCGGCTTAAACAAAATTGAAACCACAGAGTCTCAGACCACAATACTCCAGTGTTTGGGTGTCCACCAAAAAATCACTCTTCATATCATGAGATGGGCAAACGTCAACTTGAATGAAAAAATGCAAACAGCAATGGTGCTAGAATGATCCGACAATGATTTTAAAGCAGTTGTCACAGAAACTCTTCCACAAGCACTGTTCTGACAAACTCTTCTAATGAAAATATTAGAAAAGTCTCAACAAAGAAGAAAATACAAAGAGTCAAATGGATAGTTCAGAACCGAAAAATATCATAAAAGCAAACGTAAAACCTCGGGGTGCGGAGGATCAGCGGCAGAATGGAAATACCAACGGGGACAGCAGTGGCGAATCTGATTACAGAAAAATAAAACATCACCAACCAGGAAAGTAGACATAAAATAATCTGGACGACCTGGAATGTTGGAGAATGTTTGGACGACGTGAGAGGAGCTAAAATTCATGTCATCAGAGTCCCATGGAGGAGAAAGAAAGTGGATGACAAAATGTATTTGAAGAAATAAAGGCTGAAAATTTTACCAAGTTTGACAAAAGACAAAACATAGGTTTGAGAAGCTAGTTCAAGAAGTCCACACGAAGGTGTATAATGACAGACTTATGAAAACTAATAACCAAAATGTGATTTTTTTTAAATCATGAGAGGAGAGAGAAATAAAAGCTTACCAATAGAAGGAAACCTATTTAAATGAGAGGAAGCTTGTCACCATAAACCATTGTCATGGTGACCAATACCTGAGAGAAACAGCTTACAGGAAAGCAGAGGAATTAATTTTGTAGAAGATTCAGCCCATGGTCTGCTAGATCCATTGCTTTGAGCAAATAAGACAGAATCCCATGGAAAAATGAGTGTGTGGCAGAGGCTGCTCACCTCACAGGGACCTGGAAGCAGAGAGACAGACAGACAGACAGGAAACGACCAACAAGATACCTTTCAAAAGCACACTCTTCCAATGACCTCCTCCAACCAGACCCCACTTCCTAACATTTCCATCACCTCCCAAAATATCACTACCCTGTGGGAACCAAACTTTCAACACCTGAAGCTGTAGAGGACACCATATACTCAAACCATAGAGACCAGTAAGAGAAATTATCTAATCCAAGACTGGATTTAGTTCAAGAACTAAAAGAAGAGAAATTGTCAACACATTTACCTTCGCAATTGTGTGTTTAGTCATTTATTCAAAAGATTATTACTTTAGGGACTGGGACCGTAGCTTAGTTGATAGAGTGCCTGCCTAGCATGGCCAGTGTTTTAGATCTGATCCCAGCACCATATAAACTGGGGTGGTGATACATGCCTGTAATCCCAGCACTCTGAAGATAAACAAAGGAGGCTCATAAATTCAAGGTCATCCTCAACTAATAGCAAGCATTAGGCCAGTCTGGGATATGTGAGGTCCTGTCTCAAAAAAAAAAAAAATTGTTCAACAATTTTCTCAGCACCGCAAATACTTCTCAAGGAACTGTATCCAAGTTTTCCATCACAAAAACGTCAACGGCTACCTTCCACTATGCAGGCCATTTGTATGGTCAGCTAATCTATTTGTCTTTGCAAAATTAAGGCTATTTTCTACCTGGACTTATGTAAAGTAAACGTGGAATGAAAGTGGGAAAAGCTTTAACATTGGTCGCCACTTGGGGGACCCTCAGGTTACCTTCCACCCTTCATGTCTCTTTGTATAATACTGAACTGGCATTACACTAAAGGTACAGGTGAATTCCAAACCCAACCTGTTGTTCAATTATCCACTCTGCTCTAAACGGTGTTAGGGTTGGAAACTCGAGCTTTTTTAACTGTAGCCCACATGCGCAGGCCAAATGGCCTCTCTTTTCTGTCTTCCAACAACGATTTAAAAATCTCTAAAATCCTAAAGCCATTGCATATATTACCTTAATGCCAGTATATCTACATATGTATAAAAACTCAGATATGGTTTAAGACTGGAAAATTGGACTGGAGGAGTGGCTGGAGGAGTTAAGAGCATAGGCTGCTGGAGGAGTTAAGAGCACGGGCTGCTCTTGCAGAGGATCTGGGTTCCATTCCCAGCACCCACACGGCAGCTGACAACCATCTGTAACTCCAGTTCCAGGGAATCCGACACCCTCTTCTGACTGTCACAGGTATTGCATGACATGGGTACACTTACATAGATGCAGACAATGCACTCATACACTTAAAATAATAAATAAATTTTTAAAGACTGGAAAATTATAAACCAATTGTACTGGGTAGCTTTAGTGTCAACTTGACACACTTGGGTTGAGGGAGCTTCAATTGGGGAATTGCTCCATTGGACTGGCCTGTGGCCATGTCTGTGGGGCATTTTCTTGATTGTTGGGTGATGTGGGAGGGCCCAGCCCACTGTGGATAGTGCCACCCCTGGGCAGGTGGGCCTGTGTTGGATAAGAGAGCAAGCTGAGCAGGGGCCAGGGGAACAAGCCAGTAAGCAGCATTCCTCCATGGCCTGTGCTCCAGCTCCTGCTTCCAAGTTCCTGCCCTGAGTTCCTACCTTGGGCTCCCTGATGAACCGCTATCTGGGAGATGTAAGCTGATAAACCCTTTCCTCCCCAAGTTGGTATTGGTCAGAGTGTTTTGCCACAGCAATGGAGAAACAAACTAAGACACCAATATTATAATTGCTATGAATCTAG